GCCAGCGCCGAAAAAAGGGGAATGGCTCACTCAAGGGAGATCCGGGCCTCTGACGTCACCGAGCACACCCCTGCGCTAAACTTGGGCTCCTAGCCACCGAACAGTGGGCTTGCAGAATCGGATCTTCAATCCAAAATAGTTCCGGTGTGTACTAGTACGGGCACCGGGTCAGGTTCAACGAGGTTCCGAAAATATTGCGGATCAAGTTCAACAAAAGTCCGAAAAATTTCCGGAGAACAATTCCAGAAGCTTTAGTGTAAAGTCGGGTAAAATTCTAGAAGAATCCGCAAAAATTTCCGGAAAAAAAATCACAAAGACTTAATACAAAGCCAAATCAGGTTCAACAGGGTTCTGGAGAAGGTTCCAGAAAAGGTTGCGGAAAGATTTTAGGAGTTTAGTGCAGAGGCAGGTCAGGTTCAATAGGGTTCCTGAGAAGGTTCTGGGAGGTTTTGGTGCAAATCTAAGTCAGGTTCAATAGGGTTCCGATCAAAAATCCAGTAAAAATTTAGGAGGCTTTGGTATATAGACAAGTCAAGTTCCACGGGTTCCGGAGAAGGTTGCGGAAAAGGAGGTTTTGGGAATCTTTGGTACAATGCCGGGTCAGCAATAAGTTCAGCAAAGAGTTTCCAGCGCTTGGCTTCGCAACACATTTCGAAAAAAAATTAAAAAAATGTCGCGACTATTGGGGATACCGCCAAAATTTATTTATTTTTAAATATCATTCGTTCAACAAATATATTTTTTTTCTGAATTAACAAAATACCCAATAATGTATACATGACCAGATTAATCCAATAAAAAAAATAATAATATCGTTATTTCCCTACAGTGTAAGCTAATCGGATCTTCAATTCAGAATAGCTCCGGTGTGCACTGGTGCGGGCACCGGGTCAGGTTCAACGAGATTCTAAAAATGTTCCGGATGAAGTTCAACAAAATTCCGCAAAATTTCCGGAGAAGAATCCGGGAAGCTTTAGTGCAAAGCCAGGTGAAGTTCAACAGGAATCCGGAAAAGTTTCCGGAAAAGATTCCAGGAAGACTTAATGCAAGGCCAAGTCAGCCTCAACAAGATTCCAACGAAAATTCCGGAGAAGTTTCCAAGCCTTGGTTCCGGAGAAAATTCCGGAGAAGGTCGGGGATTTTTTTGCGCAGAGCCAGGTTCCGGAGAAGATTTGGTAGAGCCAAGTCAGGTTCATCAGGGTTCGGAAAAGAGAATGTTCTGGAAAAGGGGTGAATAAGGTTCTGGAAAAGGTTCCGGAGGAGGTCTGGGAAAAAGGTCCCGGAGAAGGTCAAATTATTTCAATAGAGTTCCAAAAAATATTCCGGAAAAGGGTTCCGAAGAAGGCCTAGGAAACTTTACTGCAGAGTCAGGTCAGGTTCAACAGGGTTTCGGAAAAAGTTTGGGAGACATTGGTGCAGAGTCCAGTCAGGTTCACTAGGGTTCCGGAGAAGAATTTCCGAAGAAATTTCCGGAGAAGGGATGGGGTTCCGGAAACGGTTCCGGAGGTTCCGAAAAAAATCCGGAAAAGGTCGGGGAGCCTTTTGCGCAGAGCCAGATTCCGGAGAAGATTTAGGAGGCTTCGCTGCAGAGCCAGGTCAGGTTCAACAGGGTTTGGAGACGGTTCGGGAGAAGGGAAGGGAGGCTTTGACGGAGGGAGCAGTGGACGCAGCCACAAAAGGAGCGCCGGGAGTGGATCGTCTCAGTCGTTGGGAAATTTCATTTCCTCTGCCCTGGCGGAGGACGAGCTCTGGCGGCTGGGCGCCACCCCGGGCGGTTGGTAAAAGCAGCCATGAAGGAGCTCCAGAGGTATCTAGGAGACATAGCGGCAGGAGACGAAGGGAACAGCGACTGGTCAAAATACAAAATGATGGGGTATATCAACCAAAGAGTCGTGACCAGACAAACCCCAAGCCAGATAGGCATCCGAAACCAAAAGGAGCTCATCACCCTGGGGACCAGAGTAGATCTCCTGCTCTGTGGCCGTCTGGCAGAGTTGGGGGAAAGCCCTAGGGGATCAGTCGAGGCAGACAGCGCGCCACCAAGAATTGATTCCCCAGCAGGGCGCGGCACCGAAAAGCAGCGCGGGACCAGCTCACAAGAAGGGGGCTTCGGATCAGAAAGGAAAAGCAAAGGGAAAAGGACGAAGGCCCTTTTGGAGGAAAGGGCGAAAAGGGAACGTAAAAGCAGGAGTGACAGAGAAGCCCGACGCCATGAGCACCTATGACCGGAGCCCCTGGAGACCACCCTAGCGCCTGCTGGAGCAGATAAGATGCTGAGTGCTGCGAAGCAGTAATTGAGGAGTGAGCAGTGCGGGGGTCGGCATAGTCCAGCTCCATTGGGCCTCGCTGGCAAGGACTGCCCCGCAGGGCTCCTCCTCTCCTTTTCTTGTCTATTTTCCTAACTCCTCTTTCGGCTGGCCTGCCCAATGACGGGTCTGGCCACCAAACCTGTCAGGCAGCCCCTTGGACCTCCAGCCCACGAAGGAGCCTGATGCCAGGAGCCCAGTTTAACCCTGCACCACAGGACACCTGGGCAAATGAACTGGTACCCCTTGACACTGAAGCTAAACGGTGGGAACAATCATCGGGCATAACCCCCCTTTAAGCAGAGAACATATATTTCTATGCATAAAGCAAAAACGAGATATCTTTGGCGAGCTTCTTAATTTGTTGGCTATTCAATCTAACCCTACGACTATCAGCAATAACATGCGTCCTTCAATATACAATAATTTTTAAAACGCAATTCTTCTCATGTAAAATAAACTATTGTCAAAAAACATGTTTTATTTCAATGACGCAATTTTACGTGTATGATTGCATGGATAAGGTGCAAATATACAAATGAGCCTGTCAAAACAGGTTGGAAAATGCGGCTGCGAAGCTGGCTTTTGCCATGACATCGCCCGCAGCACTTTGTAATAAGACTAGCAACATCTCATCAGAGATGACGCAAGATGCAATCAGTGCACCTGGGTCCTGTATTGAAAAGATATGGCGTAGGTTTGAATTTCCGAAATTAACATACAAAACATATTTACGATTTATGTTTCTTAGTACATTCATCCTGCAAAAAAACTGAATGAACCACACAGTGAGCATAGCATCTGGAAGCCACTGGAAATCGGTGAGAAAATGGTAGAAAACCGAAGCCCCGATCGTCAAAGCTCCCTCACCTGGGCTGGCAATTTGCTCCACAAACGTGTGGAAACTTGCTGGAGTAGCCAACAAGACTTGAACAAGCAGCAACCCTCTGTGGAAATATGTGGAGAGCTATAGAAAACCATTGCCAAGGAACAATGGAACGAGGTGTCGAGGGCCAGGGCTCTGAGCGCCCTGCGCAGTGCCCCGCTGCATAAAACCCAAGCGCAAATAAGTTGCCACGCGCAACAGAACCAGAGGATTCGTTGAGGTCTTCAAACTAATTGAAATCAAGACCCTGCAAATGCAATCCGCACCCACGAAAGCGCACCTGCGTGGGAGCAATCCCATCTTTCACAGGACCCAGCTCAAAGGGCTCCTGATCGTCCAAAAAACACTTAGAATCCCCGGAACTGAAACAAAGCACGCCATGCATATGTCAAGGCCCAAGGCAATGCCTTGGAAGATATTAATGTGGTCGTTCCTTCAATCCTTGTATCTAATCCACAAACTGTGCTTCACTGGTCTTTGACAGCCGTGTCTTCATGGCTATTTCTTTGGAAGCGTTGAATTCGAATCAAACATGTCACCCCTTTGTCATCCTTCGTCAGTATTTTTTACAGACAGAAAGCATGGATCTTGCATGACCAGACGCAGAATTAAATCCCGCGCTCCCATGCGAATAACATTATATGGATGGAGCACAGGGAAGCACCACCTAACTTTGAACAGCCTCAGCGGACGCAGGATCATCCAGCAGATCTGAAGCATACACTTGTGGCTCCTTCACAAATAAATGCTGAATAATGCTGATGCAGATTGTGCCTTTGCCAGCTGTGCATCGAAATGCTCTGTGACTGTGTTCAAATAGCAACACCTATTTACTTAGACACTGGCGGTAATAAAGCGTCTTCCATTTCTTCAATGTCATTCAATGTCAACACTTTCACATTTTTTCACATGCAATATTGGCATTGTCCTCCTCATCTCTTTCCTTTACAACAGGCTCCTAAAGTCAGATTTGGGATTCAGTCGACATAATATCAACACAACATGTCCACTCCTTCATGCAAAAGGACCAAGCAACCATTGTGACGCTGGTCCGCGACAAAACAATTACAGTATCTGGACAAATGGCTCTTATTCAGCCACACAGGCGTATTCATGCGTATAGCCTGTATCGAAGTCTTGACCCGAGGAGAAGAAACTTTGGCCTTTTCATACGGTTCAAATCGGGCCATTGAGTCAAAACCGCGAGCAGTCTGCATCTATTCAAAAAACGACGCAAACGTATGGTATACCGCAACCAAGAAAAACAGCCTCAGCCAACGCGGGATCATCCAGAAGATCTGAAGCATACACTTGTGGCTCCTGAACAAATTGAGCAGTCTAGGCTTGTGAGGTGTGACTCTGTGTTCAAATAGCAACTGCTATTTACTTGGGACTTGATGACATTGACACTGACCGAAATAAAATGTCTTCCGTTGCTTGAATGTCACATGCAATGTTGGCATTCTCCTCCTCATCTCTTTCCTGGACAACAGGCTCCTGCAGCCAGATTTGGAATTCAGTCGACATAATATCAACACAACATTTCCACTTCTTTATGCAAAAGGACCAAGCAACCATTGTGACGCTGGTCCGCGGCAAAACAATTACAGTATCTGGACAAATGGCTCTTATTCAGCCACACAGGCGTATTCATGCGTATAGCCTGTATCGAAGTCTTGACCCGAGGACAAGAAACTTTGGCCTTTTCATACGGTTCGAATCGCGCCATTGAGTCAAAACCGCGAGCGGTCTGTATCTATTCAAAAAAAGACGCAAGCGTATAGTATACCGCAACCAAGAAAAACAGCCTCAGCCAACGCGGGATCATCCAGAAGATCTGAAGCATACACTTGTGGCTCCTGAACAAATTGAGCAGTCTAGGCTTGTGAGGTGTGACTCTGTGTTCAAATAGCAACTGCTATTTACTTGGGACTTGATGACATTGACGCTGACCGAAATAAAGTGTCTTCCGTTGCTTGAATGTCACATGCAATGTTGGCATTCTCCTCCTCATCTCTTTCCTTTACAGCAGGCTCCTGCAGTCAGATTTGGGATTCCGTCGACATAGTATCAACGCAACATTTCCACTGCTTCATGCAAAAACGAAGCAAAAACATGGACTTTGGTAACCCTGAGCTAAACAGCCTCATCGCACCCAGGCCCGCCGAACAGATCTGAAGCATAGACTGGCGTCTCCTCTGCACAACAGTACAAGATTTGAGTGGGAACACGAATTCACCCAATGGCCAATGGTTCCAAAACAGAACCTGGTATTGCTTTGCTCTATTTCCGAATGCTCCCTCCTTGTTTGGAGGAGAGGTGTCTTCAACATCCTCAAGAGCTATCTCTGGATCCTCACAAACTTCAGCGCCAGCATGGGTTCATTCATGTGGGTGCTCTGAGATAGAATGTCTCAACGCAAGCCTTGGGCTTTTCGGTCATTCGTTCGTCAAAATGCGCAAAGGACAGGCACATGGCTCATCAATCCCAAATCCTCCAACCATTCTATTTGAGTGGCCAAAAGGACAATGATCAGTCAGACGTCCATCCAAAAGGCAATCGTAATCCCTTCACGGAAAAACCTCAAACACTGGGTGGAAAAGCTGGAAAGCCTATGCCTGCAACTTGACGGACCTCATAGCTGATTGAACAGTTTGCAGAACAGAAGCACAATCCCAAGGCAAACTTTATACATGAACTAAAACAACCTCGTCTGACAGCATCGCTTTCAGGCCTCCACCACACCGGCTTCTCGCGAAAAGTGGAGGAAAACCTCAGCAGCACTTCCGCACATGGACCGATCGCCGGGAAAAAACTTCAACTGCTTTGTCACTCTATGTGCTATCATTGTTTTTGCGCAATCTTCTGCATACTGTTTGTCTGCTCTGGCCTCTCTCTCTCTCTCTGTGAAGAGGAAATGTCCAATCATGTAGAAGAGGCGAGCTTGCCGCTTTTACCATATCGCGCTGACTTTTTCAGTAGGCAACATTCAGCTGCCTGCCTCTTCAAGGGACGTCTGTGAAATGGAGTAGTCTGAAATGCAACCTGGCAGAGCAACCAACGGCAGGCTGCTTTGTCGAGTGCACCCCGCTCAGACTCAAATTAATCACCGAGTATCACCGAAAAGCAACATTGTGAGGTTGACATATGGAAAATATAATGCACATATATTCAAATTTAAAGGAATTCAGGCATATGCGGTGCACCTGTCTCTGTAAGTCAATGGGTCAAGTGTTCCAGAAAAGCAAAGGCAGTCAAGGTAGCCTTCAAGTCGACCTTTCGAGGCCTCTTCAAAGCTGCGAAAGACATCTGCCAATGGCAGCTCCTGCAACTTTGTGCATCATTCAGCTTTGCAGAGTCTCGAAGATACCAAAAACCGCAAGAAACAGTACAGAAAGTTGTCAACCAAATGACGTTGTATTTGCACTTTGTCCTACCGCAGCCTGTGCCGTTGGATGGGGCTTGCATGAACTTGCAACCCTGTTTCAACCCATCAAACGCAGAATGGAGGATCAAAATAATACTCTGACATACTCTGACATGCACGTGAACTATTTCCCCTCATGGAGTATCAGTGTCCAGGAACACGCATGAATAAGCACAATGTGGCGCCCAGTCTTTCTGCATGGTGCTTCCGTGTCCTCATCGCTCTTTGAACGAAGCCGATATCTCAGCCTCCGCAGATTCAAGAAAAGATAGTTTGGATTTCGGTGATCTTGAACGGGAGAATGCCAATGCCAATCCAAATTTCACCGGAATGATGGGTCAGAGCTGTGCTGTGAATTTGGGATGTGCCTATATTACCCTGGCAGCAAATGCATCAAAAGGATTGGGGCTTTCCTGATTTGAAAAGTCAAGGAGGATGAGAAGGCGTATAGGAAGGCTCCGTTGCATTCAGACAAGGAATAGGAAGTAATGAGCAAAAGGCAAGTGTGAAGAAGCGACTAAGCAAGTTGAAACTGCCATTGTAAGCAATATTTGGCCTCAGCATGCCCTCGCAATTCTTGCCAATGGGTGTGTCAGAATTTAAACTATGCAGGACCACTCATGCAAGGTGCAAACCGTTTTCGTGTGCAGTCATTGACAGTGTCCTAGGCCGACACCCCGCAAGAGAACAACAAAGAACAAACGTGCGCAATGCTTGGTGACCCTTCCAAAGCATTGCGCGTATTCCCCACCAATAGTTCACAGTTCTGAGGCTTCTTAAAGTCTTACCTCGTCTTTCTTGCGTTTCCTGCGTCTCCAAGGTCTCTTTGACCAACCATTTTCTGACCCCCTTCCCAACTGAGGCCCAACAGGCCCACGCTGACTTCGGCCAAATAAGCGCATCGCACCTTGCTTTTCCAGGCTCATGGCCAAATTTAGGTTCATATATATATATATGTATATAAATATATCATTATAACTTCAATATATTTCAATGACCCTTGCAATCCCTTGTCGCACAAGTGCTCAGAATAGGTTTGTCAGATCTTGCTAGAACCGGCATAGGCCTGCTACCATGTTTGTCGCAGCATGCGCCAAAACTCTTTGCCATATTACTGTAAGGAAGAATGACTTGGGCGGAAGCATCGTTTCTGCGTTTGTGGGGGTAGCTGGATGTAAAACCAACCTATGACAAAACTACTTGCCCAACCAGGGTTCAAACTTACTTGACATGCAAGCCCTTGCCCACGACAGAAAACAAAGGACCACCCTCAAGCAAACTGGCAAGTTTGCTTGGACACGTGCAACAAAGCTAATGTACAAAAACCAAACCCAACACATCAAGCCAATCGGCCAAATACACAATCCGCTTTATTATCTTTATTTAAGGCATGTCAGACATGACATACATCACACACCGCCTTTGACAGAAAAACGCACCCGTCGACTCGTCGATATTCTGGCTTGACATACAAAATAGAAAACGATGCTGTGCAAGAACTGAACCAGCTAGAAAAAACATCAAAAAGTACACAACACACCCATGCCAGGACAGTATGCCATGACCGCGGCACGCACGCGCAGACACACACACACAAAGAAAAACAAATAAAAACACACACGCACACACAATACAAACACACATGAGGCAAACATCCCTCACAGAGGAAAGTCAAACTACAATCAAGCCGCTTGAGGGCGGACATGGGGGAGAGTTGAATGGGGGTGACCACCCCAAACGGCTAAAATCTCTTAAATAGCAGCAGTGCACACTCCAAGCAGCAGAGCCGACATAGACTAGAGCAGCCGAAGCCACACGCACCCCAGCCAAGTAGAAACTCGTTTCTTTTCTCCTCCGAACCAGTGAACTATTTCTTTCTATCTGCTAAAAATGGCATCCAGGTAGCGTAGGCTAGCTTGTGTGATAAGCCACTCTGGTGCTACAGGTTCTTACTGTCCAAGGCCGTAGCCAAAAATGTTACCCAATAATACGAGTAGTACCGCACAAGGCCATGGCGGAGGTTTTAAAAATAGGAAACCCGTGGGAGAGCTTGGTTGTTGTGAATCACGGATGGCAGAGCGAACCCACTCATGGATCGACAAATTCTTGGATTGTCGGGTTGCCCATCTTCCTATCTATCCATGTCTTTTTTCATCCATCTATCAATCTATCTAACTAAATATCTATCATCTATCCATCTGTCCATCTGTCTATCTGCCCATCTACCCTTCTATCCATTTTTCTATCTAATCATCATTCTTTCTATCTCTCGATCTATCTATCTATCCATCTATCTATCAATCTATCCGTATACCTATCTACCTATCCATCTATCTACCTATATATCTATCTATCCATCTATCTTTCTACCTGTCTATCTATCTATCTGCCTATGTATCAGTCTAGCTGTCTATGTGTCTGTCTGTCTATCTGTCTGTCTGTCTGTCTGTCTGCGTTAGTTTCCACAAATGGTGGGTGAATGTATGTCTCTTCCGCTCAGCTACTGCGAAAAGAAGCAAATGAGCTGCCATACTGTTCATGACTTCGTCTTCTGCGGCATTTCCGCGATCGGATTCCTAACCTACTCTTCCGCAACCCCTTCTGTGGACTTCACTTCTGCGCGCCGAACTTGGCTTTATCCCTTTACAACTTCCTTAAAAAATGGTTTTGCTGCTGCTGCCATGATCTTTGCTGCTGTGTGTGTGTGTATGTACTCTGCCATTTGGTGCCTTTGGCTTGTTGATATGGGCCCTTCAGATCTTTCAGCCACCTTGCGAAGATTTCCGTGGATTTCCAAGACGGCCTCTGCAACAATCAATCTGATTCATGCAAAGCCTTACCAGGAAGGTAAGATGAGGTGAGGAGTAGGGTACGGCGTGCTGCTTCGCTGCAGTTGTACGTCTTGCATCACTCCTGGTCTCGTTAACATACAGTACGTTGACATTCCCTCTGACGTTTTTGTTTGTGACTTGGGTGCTGCATGGCTTGATGAGTGTGGTCTTACCTTCGTCTCCGATGGTAGCCCGGAATCATTAAGACAGGAATGACACATTAAGACAGGAATGAAACATAATGAAAGAACATGAGCCAGAATGAGCCAGAGGGTGCGAACATGTGCGAACATAGGAAACTAATGGAAACTATATAATTCAGCAACTAATGTTTCAATGTGCCATGCTGGGACATTTCCTATCCAAGACTTTTTGCCTGGATTCCCGCCTGCTTCCTCACAAAGCTACGAATCTGAGCCTGAGTAGCCGGTGTCCATCGGCGTCCAAGTGTAGCCATTCTTCTGGTGTACCATAAATGTGAACACGTTAGAACTTGCAGCAGCAACATCAAATGCGCAGTTGAGGCCTGCGTGCAAAGAGCGAGCGACAACATGCGACTACAAAACCCGATGGTGTCGGCTCCATAGGTCTTCATCCCCGAGCTTGGAACTAAACCCAAACAGAAAATCGCAACATTGCCTCTTAAGGGGGCCCTTTCCTGCTCCTACTTCCTCCACGGAGCCCCCTTAAGCCAGTCTGTGCGAGTGACCAGGTTGTCCTCAGTGCTTGTGCCGAGGGCGTCCTGTCCAAACCCGACAACCGGACAACAATGTAAACATGTGTAAACCCACCAGATAAGTCTCAAGCAGCGTGATCTGAACATTAGATTAAGTAAGTTAGAGTGACACATGCAAACTTTCTGGCTTGAATCGAATGCAACAGGTCAGACTGCGGACGACGAGCCCATTTCATCTCAATTATTCTTACTCGATTGTGTTCAACTACGGGCAGCAGGTAGAACCAGGAAATCTGTCAGATAGAACAAGGAAATCTGTATGAAGAGAACAAACCGCCAAACTTAGTGAGAGGTCATTCAACGTGATTCAACGTGTTCTTTTGTTACTCTTCTAGTATAGCATGGATCATGCTAATCCACTTTTGCTCTTGATATCTCTCCATCATCTAGAGACTTTGCCGGTCTCCTGCCCAGGAAGGCTCTTAACCTCAATCATTCCGAGTGCATGTTGCTTACATCAGTCGACAACAATGCAGCCATTTAAGGCTTTTGTTGCTTAAGGGATTCTGTCGGATGAAGGGGGGAATGCATCAATTTGATGTCTATCCCACAGCACATTCATGGGAAAATCCGAAAATGACCAAGTGAGCATGAATCAGCATGAACGAACCATAATGCAAAAAGATTCAACCGACATTGGAAAGCAAGAACTGATGGAGATGTGTGAAAACAAACGGGCTTCTGACAGCTTGTCTTCAATTTTGGAACAGCCCTTGCCCATTGAAATTGACACTGCGGTACACATTATTCACTTGAATGAAGTTTAAGATGCGCCGCCATGGCAGGCAAACTACCAGATCTCAGACGTGTGATGCAAACTGCTGCGCTTGTGACTCGTGACAAACTCCCATGACTTGATTCAAAGTACTTCAGCAGCCTTCCTGTGATTCCGACAGAAAGGCTGTATCCTGCACCGTATCTGGCCTCCAGAACGGCGCCGAGTCAAGTCGAGGGCACAAAGATATGCAAGGAGGCAAAGCTTGCTTGCAATAATCCGATGCAAAATTGAATGCATTTGGGAGACAAATGCATTTGGCACTGTGCTGGAAACAATTTGGTGTGGTCTCCGTGCAAAAGCGCTCCTTCAACTCAATCGGGCTTCCCAGGCATCTGAATTGTCCATGGACCTGCTCTTGCACTGAGGAATTGAGCCAATGAGCAAGTGATGTAGTTGTCCTTCTAACAGATTCTGCCAGAAGCATATCTTTCAATCATGCATTTCATCTATACACGTAGACTTTCTGGCAGGCGTTCTGATTAGACTTTCTTGAAGCTAATCTGACAGGCTCCTATCCAACCCCGCCAATACACAGCTTTGCTTGACCCGTGTGCTTGTTGTGGCTTGAAATGGCACTGTGGCCATTCAGTGATCAAATTTGAAAAGTGCTCCAACTGCTGCGATAGCACTATATAGCAATCGTGAAAATTACACCCCTTCAGAAAGACACACACACAAACAAACAAACAAACAATCAATCAATCAATCAAATCAATCAATCAATCAATTAAATCAATCAATCAATCAATTAAATCAATCAATCAATCAAAGCAAATCAAATCAAATCAAACAAACACACAAACAAAAACACACCAAAACAAACAAAAACAATCCAAAACAAACCAAAACAAAAAAAACAAAAGAAACAAAAGAAACAAAAGAAATCGAAAGAAACAAAAGAAACAAACGAAACAAAAGAAACAAAAGAAACAAAACTAAACAAAACTAAACAAATGAACGAACAAACAAACAACGAATGAACGAATAAACAAACAAACGAATGAACGAACAAACAAACAAAAACAGTGGTCGAGGTCAGAAAGGGCCAGCAATGAAAATGAGCAATTAATTATACTGCATTTAAGTGTGGTCAAGACCTCGTAGCAAGCCTCTGATGGACCCAAAATTGCCAACGCTTGCGGAAAGGTTGGGACACTCTGACCTACGATGCTTAGAGAGCCCCCTGGACTCCTAGACGTCCTGTTGAAAGCAACAAGGTGAACATGCTTGGCAGATGCAAACCGTGCAACTTGGCCAGGCCTGGAAATCAGACACAAAACATCAAGTATGTAGATATCTTCCTCAACAGAGGACCCACATGATATGTTGCTTTTCAATTGAAACTTGAAGTCCCCAGTCCAGATATGGCCACCCTCATACACACACAAAAAGAAATCAAAACACGAACCCATCACAAGATCCTGCTCAAGTGTTGGCCAGGTCGCCATGATTGTCAGCCTTGTGCAGAGAACTTCACACTCCTCTTGCATGGAAGGCAGCGATGCTGGTATGATTGAAAGTACTGTTGCGCAAAGATCCAAAGCATCATGTTCGAGGGGAAGCTTTGGAATGCTGCATGTCGAAGGAGGCACCAAATCCATCAACCATTTTGAACAGACTACAGTCCTCCATCGAGTGACTGGTTAGAACCACAGCATGGCCACTACGGCGAATGTCTCCAATGACCTCAAGTTTTTGCTCACAGCAAGCCGAAACTATCTGAAACCAGCGAAACAGTGAGGTTATGTGAGATTAGTATGTTCTGATGTATTCAAATGTACTACCAATATACTAAAAACAATGCGCTGGGTGCAGGTGCATGAGTCTCGAACTTTCTATCTATCTATCTATCTATCTATATATATCATTATATATCTATCTATCTCTATATCTATCGATCTATCTATCTATCGATCTACCTGTCTCTATCTATCTATCTATCTATCTGTCTATCGTCTATCTATCTATCTATCTATCGATCTATCGACCGATCGATCGATCTATCTATATCTATCTCTCTTATCTATCCTTTGTATCCTATCTATCTATCTATCTATCCATCTCTCTCTATCTCTATCTATCTATCTATCTCTCTCTATCTCTATCTATCTCTCTCTATCTCTCTCTATCTCTATCTATCTCTATCTATCTCTATCTATCTCTATCTATCTCTATCTATCTCTATCTATCTCTATCTATCTCTATCTATCTATCTATCTATCTAATCTATCTAATCTATCTATCTATCTAATCTATCTAATCTATCTATCTCTATCTCTCTATCTATCGATCTATCTATTGATCGATCTATCTATCTATCTAATCTATCCTGTCCTATCCTATCTCTCTTATCTATCCTTTGTATCCTATCTATCTTATCTATCTATCCGGTCTATCCGATCTATCCTACCTATCTAATCTATCTTATCTATCTAGTCTATCTAGTCTATCTAATCTATCTAGTCTATCTAATCTAGTCTATCTACGCTATCTAATCTATCCAATCTATCCAGTCCATCTAATCAGTCTAATGAGCCTAATCAATCCAATCAATCCAATCAATCTAATCAATCTAATCTATCTAACCTATCTAATTTATATACTTTATGTAAGATCTAATCTATCTAATCTATCCAATCTTTCTAATCTATGTAATATAACAAACCCTATCCTATCCTATCCATCTCTGTCTCTCTGTGTGTCTCTGTCTGTCTCCATCTGTCTCTGTCTCTGTCTCTTTCTCTGTCTCTTTCTCTGTCTGTCTCTGTCTGTCTTTCTGTCTAGCTATCTATAATTACCTATCTACCAATCTACCTATATATCTACCTATCTACCTAATCCAATCTAATCTACCCTAACCCAATCTATGCATCCACCATCCGTCCATCCATCCATCTCTAGTATGCACATACTGCCTGAGAATCAACCCGCATGCCCGTTGATAGTCTCCAATTCATGGTTCAAAAATGCTTAAGAACATGGTTTGCAGAATGTGTTTACAAAAGAATCAGCTGCTGCTTCGGCCTTTGCTCCCCTGTCATGTCTTTGGCGCCGTCTGGTCAAAATCATATTGGCTCCACGCAAGAAAGAATCATCAAGCTCACAAATCTATTACAGTACTGCCCACCTCCAGAAACCAATCCACAGAAGCAACCAAACCACGAAACGATTTTCCAAACATTTCGAAAAGATTCAAAAAGTATGAAAGAGAAGCAAAGTTTTCGTCGAACTGAGGGGTGATTGTCAATAGATACAAGTAGCCTTAGCCATATCATACTTTCACAGGAGTCGCTTCTTCTGCTGCTACTTCTGACATTCTGATTTTCACTGCGGCCTGTCAAGGCTTCCATATGCCCTTTGGTTCCAATGAGTCTCCATGAGACACATTCAAAGAGAAAATAGAGACAAAAGAGTAAGGGCCGACAACACCAGCCCTGCTAATATTTTTCACAATGCGACCAAAATACCTGATTAATAGCTTCTGACATCTGACCCAGTGTTTTCCGGTTGATCCACTTGTATGCTTGTGCATCAAAACATATTGGACCTGGAGCAATCACTCTCGGCCTGGTGGATTGATCCTGCATTCAAGCATCAACAAAAATGCTGCCTGTACTTGGATTTTTCATGCGGGCGTTCCCTTTTTCCAAAGACCTGTGGGGCCGTGATTTTGGGAAAACACATGCTGTGCTTTACAATGTTTTATGCACTTTATGAGGCTGGGAAGGTGGTAACCTAGTCTTATCTTACTTGAACCCTTTATGAAAGAACAAGACTCCTAAAATGTTGTGGTTGATACAGTTTCTTGTGTTGCAAGTGCTAGAACGTCAACCATGCAGAACTATGTGATGTGGATGCCACCGGTGACTTATACAACATGCCAAAAATTGATTGCAAAGTCCAACATTCTCTTTGCTGCACGACAGAGTATGTTGCTGTTCAAAGTATGACGCGCCAAACGCCAAGCGCACATCTGCACATAAGGAACATCAAAAGCAATGCTGCACTGTAGCTGGAAGTGGCTCATTATAAAATGGCGACGGTTTCTGGTTGTTTTCGCACATTTGACACATTATAAATACAATACCTTTTCTTTAAACGCTATCAGCTGCGTAAGGCGATGGTCCTACTGTTCACTATTTTTTACTGTTAAAATCATCTTTTTGCAGGTCCTATTTTTGGGAATTTATGGTACGCCTTGACCTCATCATTGTCTTGATGGCTTTAT